TTTGCAAGAAATCTAAGATATTTTATAATTTCTATTGTATGAAGAAAATATATAAAATTATAAAATAAAACAAATACTGTATAAAGAAATCAGTTATATTAATAAATATTGAAAATATTATAATAAATTTATTATAATATTTTTATTATAATATAAGTATTTTGTTATTAAAACTATATATAAGATATAAATAATATTATTAAATTTTAATTCATAGTATTTATCACAAATAATTTATACTTTTTTTAAAATTTATAATCTTATTATAAATACAAAATAATTACATTATTTTATGAAATATTTTATTTTATTTAAAAAATTTTATTTATTAATTTAAATATTTTTTGTAATTAATCTATTCATATTTTTTATTAATATATAATAATATATAATTTTGTTGTTTGTAATCTAAAAATCTATTTACATATTGAAATGATATCAATTAAATGCAAATAATATTACATAATTTCTGGATTTTTTATTTTAGAAAAAAAATAATTTTTAAGAGTATTTAATATTATTAATCAATTAATATTACTTTTTCAAATATAGAATACAATATTTTTATATAAAAATAATATTTAAATTAATTTCAATTTTAATTTAAAAATCAGGATACAATAACAATAACAATAACACTGTTCTTATTAGTATCTTAATTTATATTAATTTATTGAACTTCTATAAATACATAATTCGAATATTTTTTTTTAATTTTTTAAATTTGTTCACTTTAAAACTGATTGACAATAAAATTGAAGAAAAAAAAATAGAAGGAAAGAAAGAAAAACTTAGCAAAAAAGAAAAGAACAAAACTATTCAAACATCGCAACTGTCATTGCCATTACTCCTTCTCTACGCAGATTCATTTTTTCCATAAATGTCCGAAAGAAATCAGAAAGGCATAGATCCACGAAAATTTCGATTGATGAACAAATATTTGAATTAAATCTTGGGATTTAATAAAAAATGAGTGATCAAGAGAAAGTCGAATAGAGACCATGACCGATCAGCTGATTCCTTTGTTTAGGTCGCTGACACACGCGAAACGGAGCTCTGCCATTTTCAATCGATATTATAGTTCCGTCAACGATTCGTCCGTATCGAGTAAGAATCGAATCCTATTGGCCGGAATCATTCCTCGATCCTTCATTTCGGAGAACATTAAAAATCATCCGCGAGAATTCTCTGAATGGCAGAAAAATAGTTGAGAAAGATTAAGACTAATCAAACGTACCTTTGTAGTGAACACGAAGATTGTTTTGGGAGAGGCCGATGTAATTGTATTTGTCCTTTGGACTCCACGAGCGTGGTAGTGGCGTTTCCTCTTCATTTACCATCGGATAGAGCATTTTTAGAGGATCAACGGGCTGATTTTGCCCGGAATTCGTCTGAGAAGGCTCCATAACACTCGGTTCCTCGCTGGTGGCGGCCATCTTTCTCTTGGGCAGCCCCACTACTTTCGCCAGTGGACTATGCTTAACTGACTGCGCAACAGTCCTGCGCAACGGTCCTGCGCAACTCAACTTTACCTTCTGTTCATGAAGTGTATAATATATAGATAATATACTTTTTAAAAGAATTTTGAATATATATATGCTAAACACACACAATGCAATCTTATGTCAAATATCATATAAATATATGTATATAAATATATTAATATTAAATAATTTAATTTAATATTAAATAATTAATATTAAATAAAAATTATAAAAAAAAGAAAAAACGAATAGAAAAAATATTAAATTTGAATTTAATATTTAATTATAATATATAATAATAATATAATATTATATTATAATATATTATAATAAATTAAATATAATAAATGTTTATTATTTTATTATTACATTCATATACAATTCATTTATTTTATATAACTTTATGCTTTTTTTTTAAATATTTATCTATATCTTCCTATTATACTATAATATTGTATTATAGTTTTTATTTATTTTAGATATAAATTATAATGAGATGGCATTAATGATTTAATCAATCAAGTTACTAGAAATTACTAGTTTCGAACTTTCACACTAGTTTTATGAAATATTTGCTTTCAGTGATACATTGTCATAATAAATTGCATAAAAAGTAAAATATAGTATAATAAAATAATTATAATTTAATGCAATAGTGTTGATAATATAGTACAAGTATTATTTTTTTTATATTTATATTAATTATTTAATATATTTTCTCTTTTCTCTTTTTGAATAATACAATTGTTAATAAAGATTAAAATCAAAAATTCAAATTTTTATTTTGGATTTTTTATTTGAATTTTTTATATTATGTATAATAATTTAATAATAGTAAAACTATTATTTAACCTAGAACAAAGAATATTAAAGTTTATTTAAAGTTATTTTATTTATTTTTTAAATAGATACTTGAAAACAAATATTTCTATAAGTTATAACTATAAAGAATATAACTATAATTAAAATAATAAATAAAAACAAAATATAATTAATAAATACAAAATAGAAATTGTATTTATGAATTCTTTTTATGTGTGAATATATGTATATATATTAATCATTTGCTATATTTTTGATTTTTAATTACTAATTTTTTATTAATTTAAATTATATTAAAATAAAATTAATAAAATTGATGTATTAATATAAATTATACAAATTTTTGATAAACCTAAATTATTAAAAAAAATTTCTCTTAATGTTCGTGGATACTTTAAAAATTAGGATGAAATATAGAAAAATCCAAATGGATTGTAATTCTAATAACATTACTATTATTGCTATTGCTATTATTGTACATATAATATTTGTTTTCTTTAATTAAAATTTTATATATTAAATATATCACAATAATATCATAATTTAACAAGAAAAATTAAAATAATACTTCAAAATTAAACAATTATATTTTCATTTTTATGTTTCAAAAACTAAAAATGGATAATAATGCATATTTTTTAAAAAAATTGATTTCTTATAAAATATTTTAAATATTGATAAAAATATTATAAAATATAAAAAAATTATAATTTTTAATAATTCAATTGTAAACATTTTATATACATGTCCAAAACTCATAGGAAATGCGATATTTTATCTTTTTCTCTGATTTATTTTTTAAATACTATATTATTATAAATGAAAGATCCTGGAGAATATAGAAAATAAATTTTTAAAAATCATTATATTAATTAAGCTCTTAATTTAAAAATTATAAAATTTAGATTTAATTATAAATTTTTTTAGTTTTAATAAATTATTGATGAAAAAAAATTATAATTTTAGAATGTTACGATATTAAATTAATAGTTTTTAAAATTTATTTTTATAATATAAATTGTGATAATATTTTAATAATATTGTAATAAATGCTTAAATATTTAATTAATAATGAAATGAAAATAGAAATTTTTCATCTAAATAATGAAATTTTGTTAACAATTAAAAATAATATTAGAAATATATATAGATATATACTAATAAAATATATTAATAGAAATAGTATTACTAATAAATTATTCATATGGTCCCAATTTCAAAATATATCTATATCGATAATCCATCTGCCTGTGATATATCTAATGATATAATTAAAAAAATCTTCACAAGAATTCAACAATATAAATATAAAATTGCATATAATATTGCAAAATCTATTAAATTTAAGTGCAATAAAAATCTTAAAATAATAATAAAAAAAATAGAAATAAAAAATGTAAAAATATAAATATAGATAATATATATGTATAACATGTAATCATATATATGTAGATTTATTATATTATAAATATTATATAATAGATATATATATAAATTTTGATTTTAAATTTTAAAAAATTTAATTTTTTTTTTAATTTTAAAAAAAAACAGTAATTTTATTAATTTATGTAACTTCATGATTATAACAGAGATTAGATTTTAAATATAAATAT